GAGAGAGAGAGAGAGAGAGAGAGAGAGAGAGAATGGAGTCAATGGTAACACTGCAGATAGCGTCTAGGGATAATAAGGTTCCAAGAAAAAGAGTAGCCATATTTAGATCCACGTAAACGCCTAGCGGATTTTTCCTGTGTTTATTTTGGTACTAGCCACGATATAAACACGTCAGAACTTGTGAGACGGAGATTAAGAGAAAGAATGTTTGAAGGAGTGTCTGCGAGGTGATTTGTTTTAATCTTGCTTTCACTGCCTACTGACAAAAGTGAAAAAGCCATAGGAGCTCGTAAAGAATATAAAACGTACACGTTAGGAGACTTCTAATCATCCATGGCGACTTACTTGTTTGGTGGGTAGTTCGTTTTTCCTTTTCTTTTTTTTTCCTTTTTTTCCCCTTCTTTTTTGGGGGGTGGTTGGGTTGTAAGTGCTTTACGGCGCTCACAAATGTATAAGGTCATGTGAGCGTGCGGGAAACATTAAACATTTTCAGTTGATAGGACATTTTGAATTTTGCCCAGGTGACGCCCGAAGCCTACTTTTTAGGGGTCTTTAACGAGCGCAACTTGGACACGAGACCACCAAAATTTTCCGCCCTTATTCGAGAGGGCTAGCTGTAGATCTTTCCTACCAGAAGATTAAGGGTATGGCTGAAAGACAGCAGTAAGAAGGAACCAAGGAGTAGAAGTAGCAAGGCTACAGAAAGAGTCAGGGGCCAAGAGGAGGGGGCAAAGGAGGTAATGGGGTAGTGGCAAAAAAAAAGAGACGAAAGCAGACGACAGAACATTGCTATTTGTTTGGTTTGTTCGAGTAAAGAGAAGCACATGAACAAAATAATGATGGTGGGAAAAAGTAAGACAGAAACAACAGAGGTTAAGTAAAGAAGTAGCCCCTACTAGTGGCACCCTCCAACAACACTCTCTTTGGCCAATAAATATTAGAACAAAAATAATAAATATTTTAAATAATAATAAATGGCATTGGTGTAGCGCAGATTACCACTCAACAGCAAGCTCTATGCATGCCCCTTACAATCTATATTGTCTCAGCAGACCTGATAGCATTCTGAAACTTCCTGAAAAGCATGCAGTGCAAAACTGCCATTTTATAGGAGCATAATCACTAACAAGATCTTTCGCTATCTAATGAAATGGTGAAATGGTATAGGTCTAACGCCCCTATCAACACTATTAGGTTATTTAAGGGGCGGGACCTCCTAGTTTAATGTCTGTCTCCGATAGGACCGAGCCAAGTGGGAAGTTCGTGTAAAGTGCGAGTGCAGATTGCGTCTTGGGGAAATTGGGTCCGAGAAAAAAGTGGCCATATTTAGATCCACGTAAACGCCAAGCGGAATTTTTCGGTTTTTATTTTAGTATTAGTCACGTTATAAAATAAACACGTCAGAACGTGTGAGACGGAGATATAAGCTGGCATTCCATATGCCCGAAAAACCGATGCGAACTTCGGGTGCGAAATTCCGGTACGATGAAAAAAGAGCCCTCCTTCCATATACCCGAAATTCATATCCGTCATTTCTGACAGCTCTGGGTTTGTTAGAAGTTATATTCAAGTGCATTTCAGGAGAGGGGGGTGTAAGTGAAATGCTATTTTTGATATTACATGATTTAAACGATAAATGATAGCATATATAGATTACATAGACTCCCTAAAGTTTCCCACAAACTTTTTTTAAAAAGTGGTTGCCATGGAAATGGTTCTCTCGAACCAAGGAAATCAACATTTCGACGTTT